AGTTCTCAATGAGGCATCAGCTGTTCTTTAGAGAGATTATAGTGGGAGCATTCCTAGCACATTGACTCCACTGTGCAGCCAGCCTTGCAATTAAATGGCTCAGCAAAGGTGGTTTCCAAGGATAAACTGTGCCAGGGATGACAACATTTCCTCACCAAATTGGAGAGAATCTAATAAAAAATAAGGATAGAGGAAAAATGCTCTAGCTCTACAGCTATTATTAGTGTCTCAGAGCATTGTCACTACTTTGCCTGCGCTGTCAGATGTCACTTTGCATCAGTTCTGGGCAATGCTCAGAAGAAAAATGGTGGAACTCATTTAATTCTGCAATGCATGACTGGGCTCTGCAGCAGGGCTGCACAGAGGGTTAAGTGACCTCTTAATGTTTGTGGGAGCACTGCTCAACAAGTTCAAGTGGGCTCTCCAATAATTTATGCAAACACCTTTTCGCATAGACCTGCAATTTATAGTAATTTATACCTTCTATCTAGCTGCTCTCACAAAGCATAAACCAAGTACTTAAAAGCAAGTTCCAGCCCTCAGTCCTACTGTCCCCTAGAGCAGCTCCCTACTGAAGAGGCAAACTGAATAGAGGAAAAAAAGACAACTGAGGCACGTAAATGACTGACATATAATGAACAAGCACACTTTGGGGGACAAACTGTGCTTGGAACCCCAGCCTGAGCCCATGAGCACCATGCATAGCATAGCAGCGAACCCAGCCAGCAGCAGCACACATGTTCTCTGGCAATATGCTTTTCCATATTCTTTTTGCTTACTGGAGGATCAACCTTTTCATAAGCACTTTTTCAATCCCCATTTGTTTCTTCAGGGACAGCTTCTTAGGCTAAAGCTGAGCAACTTTGTCTCAGCAAAGAATCTGGCACCCAGCAGACACTGACTGCTTTTTTCTGCTTTGAGGAAACATGTTACGAACATGCTTTGCAATCTTCCACAAGGAATACAGATTATTAAATCCTTTTTACTGCTCAGAATGACATAATGGTTAATTTTGCTGACCATGTGGCAGTTTACTTTGAACTATATGTATAACCAAAGTTAATCAGAGTTGACTAGAGACCTACACTCATCCTATAGTACACTCATTACACACTTCAAAATGCCTGCCTTTGCTCTGAACTGAAAGGCACATCCACCAAAATAAACTTAACTAGTTTTTCTTACTATCTTAGTCACCTGCCAACACACTGTTTGCTAGAGAAGAACACAGGATTGTTTAACAGCTACCTAAATGCAAATTAAAATGGCAGCTTCAGGGAAAAAGAAACAAAACCTCAGGTGTCAGTGATTTCTCTAAGTGGACTGAAATCACACCTCCACATTCAAGCTGTAGACAGAGCCTGTATTCTTGAGGTGAATTTTGGGAAGCTAATTTAACTCCTCCTTTCAAAACATCTATTAGCTATTCAACACACTTGATGTGACTGGGAGTAATGTCATGCTGACGGCTGCAAGATTTCAGCCAGACTTGTAGATTGGAGCACCTGATGGATTGCACTTCCAAGCATCTGCATAGCTCCAGAGCTCAAACTGGCTCTCTTTAAGATTCTTTCTGTACTACTGCATTGGAATGCCTGGCTTTAATGAAAACCTTTGTTTTGACCACAGCATCCAAATCTCAGAATATACAGAGCTCTTCATTGAGGAAAAAGGTTTTTTTTTCTTTTTTCTGAAGACAACAAAAAGACAGCTGTGTATACACACATGTTGTGATGTAACATTAGGAAAATCGGAGATAGATTGAAGTCCTCTTTGTATACAGACACACCTGATTCACTAGGAGAAGCTAATACACTGGCATGAATTCTCTGTGGTCATCCTAGAGGAGGAAGACAGCTGCGACAGTTGCTTGATAAGACAGATCCCACAGCTCCCATTCCATCAAGGGCCATGTCCTCTCCATCTGCTGGGCTCTGCTCCATTACAAGCTTATTACTGGCCTTGTCCTGCTATTTTGAGAGTCAAAAGCTCCATTAAGCATTGTTTTTTTTCTGCTAGACTAAGTCAGGAACAACCCCAGAACTACAGGAGGAGGAAAGCAAAACAAAATATCAGCTCAAAGACTTGTGCCTGAGAAGTATCACTGGGGAACAATTAGGCTAGAAAGCACAAACAAGATTTAATAATCATGCAAAGATGTAACTGTGGAAGCATTTGAATTCCAATGTTAGGACTAAACTCTTTGAGTCAAGCTCCTTTGTTTTCAAGGTCTATATTTGTATTATATTTCTTAGCAGCAGTGCTACTGGTAATGATTTCCTCCTTCCCCCAAGAAAAAGTAGTAATGCCTTCTTTAATTTGTTTTCTCTTAGCTGCTACCTTTGAGCTTTTCAGAGCAACATAGAAGTCTAAGCAAAGCTTCACTGACTTGAAATTCTCTTCCTTTGGTTTAATCATAGCTAAAAAAGCTCGAGCAACAAGTACTTAAAACCTACCTCAAACCCAAGTGTAAAATGAAAAGGGTGAAGTACACCAAGCACATCAGAAGTCTGCCTGGCAGAAAACAAATAGCTAGATTCATAGAGCTGATTCCTGCTTGCAGAACAACTGCTCAGCCCCAGCTATTTCATTAGCAGTGCTCTGAAAGGTCCTAGGGACTTTCTTTTTGAGGTGTAGGCAATTCAGAGAGCTGAAAGATCACTGTAATTTGGCCTATGAAAAATGAGTAGGTGTTCACACTTCATTTCCCAATAGAGAAAGTCATGCTCATCACAGAAACTATCATCATGCACAGAACTAATAGCTGCCCTGCTTGGCAGGCACACCCATGCACATTAAGGAAGCCTTGCAGTGCTCCAGCTGTTACCACCTATGAACAAGAGACTGGTTAACAACACTGTGAGCAAGGCATATTTTTTTTTCCACATCTACAATGACATGAAAAAATATAATGATGTTATAAGTAAGCAAATACAAACAACCAAAACTAGACTTTTGGAACCGCAAGACAAATAGAAAACTACTAAGTATTCCCAAAGAAACTCCCTGCTCCCAAATGAACTGGAATAAAATCATACTGGACGAGTCATAAACACAAAAAGTCAAGGATATGGGGAGAGGATGCAAAGCTAACAAAATGTTGAATCAAGGGAATAAAACACGCTGCCACTTACCTGAATGAGTAACATCAGCTGCAGTCAAAGGGCAATGGCTGGACAGGACTTGGTATTTACCCATTCCTTATATAAGCAAAGGAAAGCGCAAGGCCTGGGAACAACAGCGCACCAGCTCTTGGAATTCCAACAGTCAGTTATATGCCTATGCAGGGTCTCTGCCCTAATCCCATGCAAAGTCTTAGAAAACCTCAAGGCCCCTCTAGAAGACTATTTAGCAACTGACTTCTGCTTGGATATTGCCAAAATAAACTGAACTCAAAGTTAGAGGTGGCCGAGTCCAATTTCATCTTGATTAGTATTTACATAACGCACAGAGAAACACAAGAAGAACACATAAATAATGTACTGTTTGTTGCAGGCGTCTCAGGAGGAGAGTTCTCAGCTATAATATATCCTCACGTACACTCCAGCTCACTGTGCAGAAACCCAAAATCATCTTCTCTACGTCCAGAAGTAACTTCCAGAAGCTGAGCTGCACAGGTTGGGTTGCAGACTGCTGCTTTATCATACCAGACCTAGGAGCCAGAGCTGCACTCTGGATAACAGCCTTATGTAGAAAAAAAAACCCTAATCATGGGAATTTCCAGATCTGGTTAATGTAGAAGACATCTTCCATTTCCTTCACTTCTTTCCTCCTAGTGGACTTGACATTCTGACAACACTCCCAGGAAATGGAAGCTTGGGAGAAGCTGGTTGCTGGATTCTTTCTCCTGTTACAGTACCACTGCTTATCCACCCAGTCTTAATACAATTTTGGGGGAATCCAAATCAAAAGTGTTACCTAGAAATGGGTCAGTACCATCACTTTCTGAGGCAGCTATATAATACAATATTACTCAACAGCCACAAGGAGTCTGTGTGCCACCTGTGAGAATAGTTCCTCTTCCCTGTTTTTATTCCTTCCTTGTTGGAGGAAGGGCTTAACTTCATACCTAGTCCATGTGGGCAAAGATGGAGGGCATCTGGACATTCCTTCTTTTCTACCCCTTTGAGAGCATTGTTAGGAGAATTATTCCAATACTTACTTTGATTTGAAGAGCCATTTCCACTACTTCACCTAAAGATGCCACAACTCCCTACCACCTTGCTCCTCTAAAGCACCTTGGTCAAGCATCGGCTGTACCTGATGCTGGTTTGCAGCTTGCTAGGTTCTGGTGAGCCATCTGCATACCTTCAACTCACCTGAAAAATGGCTGAGTGGCAAAAATAAGGGGTGGTTGGAACCCACGGTGTGGGTTCCTCTGCTGGTTTACAGCCACAAAACAAAGTAGCTGAGGATATCATTATTGGTTAAAAAGGCATCTAAAGCACCCAGCACAGCAAATGTTCTCCGATATGAGATTCATACTGAGCCAGCAAGAGAGGTAGTGCAAAGATTCAGCATTACTATTTTTCTGATGCATCAATGTCTCATAAGTTTGCAGCAGATGAATGTCACTCTCAAGCATACTGTTAGGAAAGATTGCTTAAAATTAATTAGCTTAGTAACAATGGCCTGTCATTATGCTACTAAGTCACCAGCATGAGCACATAAGTTACAGTGACAGCTCAGGGTATAAAATAAGTGCCTTTATATTGGAATTTGCAAAGTGCTAGCAGTCAAATGCCAATCTAGTCACTTCTTGTAATATTGCATAGTTTGTTCTTAATAGACTGCTCCCAACTCCCACACAAAAGTATGACTTATTTTACTACAGAGAAGTCTTTCTACTTAATACACTGACCATGCCCAAATTTAGAAAGCTTTTTAAAGTGTATTTATTTGTAGAAAGTTGATTCATTCAACATCAAGTTGAATGTCAGATGTAGAACAAGACATCAAAAAAGGCTGAAGGTAATGGAAAACAAAAATTCTCTCAAGTGACTTATCAGGGGATGCATGATAAACTTGAGGCAAGGACCGAATTCTGAGGGGTAAGAACATCAGCAGTTCCCACATTCAGCACTTTACAAGATTTCCCCAGTAGAGAAGGAAATAGTTATTGCTATAATTATTTCATAGTTCCAGTCAGCTGCATTCAGTTGTACTGTTATATTCCAATGGCAGGAAAAAGGAATACAGTAAACTATAAATATCTGTCAGAATTCCTTTGAAAGGACAACAGTTAATTGCATAGCTTGATCTCCTGCCATGCAGAGCTTGCATTTCAGGTTAGAAAGGTACAGATTGTTATTGATTTAATTCTCTTGAAACATGTGCAGTATAAAACTGTTCAAAAGACTTATGGGGAAGAAATATATGCTTCCAAAGGAAGTCCTATAGCACAAGATTGTGGCAGGCTTCCTTCTTGTAAAATGCTTTCTGAAATTCAATACAGCCCCTTGCAAAGGCCCTCACAATCCCCTCATAAAATGAGGTTCCTTGCTTCCTTTGCAGAAGTGAAATTAAGTCTGTGAATCAGATGAAGAACAACAAAAGATCAGCAATAGTAGGAAGAGCATGCAAAAAATAGTCCTCTGCATTAAGAATAATTCGGTCCTTATTACACTCACTCTAATAGCGAGTAATACATTTCAATCTCCCCTGTTTTCCTTTCATCTAGCTTCCAGTTCTGCCTTTCTCTTTAAAATCTTTCTGGAATCAAAATAATTCCAGACGATCAAGCCAACATTTTAACTCTTGTATTCTCCTAATATCTTTTAACTCACTTCTGATTTAGCTCATGCAAAGTTGGTCTGACCACCCAAAGACATTAGAACATGTAACTGTGCAGTGATTTGTTAAGCCTTGTCCATTCTGGGGAAAAAACTCCCCATTATAACCATTGACAACAGTGAAGCTGAAGCCCTGTTTAACACTTGTCCAGCTCACCTACTTTCCACAAAGGGTAACTTGACCCAGTGTAAATTATATATCATGGTGATTTTGCGAGTCTACAGCTGTGTTTAGACTGCTGCTGGTACACAGGGAGCTGAAATCCCCAGTGCAGAAGCTTTTATTAACAAGTTACACACATACTAGTAAACTCCTTGCTCCCAGATACTGTAATTAAGATGACACATCGTCCTGATGGTTGCTTTAAAGAGACAAAGTATTAATGCCGGAAATACTGCTAACATGTTTTAGCACCTGCTTATCATTAGTAGCTGGCCACTTGTTAAGTTACATTTGCACATCCTCCTTTATTAGGGGAGTTCTGGAAGTTGTAGGTTGTCAGATACATCTTCTGAGCTCCTTTTTGCTAGCTCTCCCCCCAGTTTCCAGGCTTAGAACAGAAAAACATATTTACAGTCTAAATTTTCAGGTTTCACGGGGGGGGGGGGGGGGGGGGGGGTGTGTTGATTTTTTTTTGTTTGTTTGGGATTTTTAAGAGTTTTTCTTTCCAACATTAGCTGAATGATAATATACACCAAGAGATTAAAATAAAATGTATTACTTCAACAAACTTAAGAGTAAAATGAACACAACCTACAACACACTTAGAAGCAACTTCCATCCAAGGAAAATTTCCAATGGTAGCACTTAATAATGCTGATTGAGAAGATTTTAATTTGTACTCACCCCAAAACACCATGTACCACACAGCACACTGAGCACTGAAGAAGGTGGCTGTATACCAGCAACGTTCTAAAAGCAAGCAGAAGAATCATTAAATAGATTACTGAGCCCAACAGGATTCAGGCATACCTAGTCAAGCAAGACATAATATTAGGTACTGATCATTCTGCTGCAGGGCCTGACAACAGACACAGCAGTTTTCAGACTTCACACATACGAAGCAAGAGGCAGTGCATACCCTGCAAGGGGTACAGCCTCCTGAAATCTGACCCATACATATGCAAATCCACAGGCAGAGAACATCAAACTTCATAAGGCTGCAGGCAGCAGTCAGAGCCTGCCCACATGGAACAAGTTCGACAGCTAGAACCTGAGGGAGATCAGACAGGCAAAAAATACAGGCAACAAGTTAGGTAGGAGAAGGGTGGGGAAAGTTTTACTGAGATGAAGTAGGCAAGAAGGAATCTCTGGGGGAGAAAAAAAAAATAGAGATTTAAGATAACAGACAGTAACAGCAGACAGGATGCAAATGGGGAATTCTTCCAACAGATTTCTACCACACAGGATCTCGGAAAGCATTTGTGCTCACCACCACATAGCTGAGAAAGACAGCCTACTGAAGTTATGGGAGAAGAATACTGAGGGCTTGTCCCTGTATCTCTATTTCTCCAATTTAAAATGAGACTAAAGATAATAACATCCTGTCCTGAAACAATTTCAGCAGCTAAATAGAGTATATAGGGTCAAGTGAAATTAAGCTGTTATTAACTACCACCTTCTCTCACCTATGATATCAGAAAAAGAAGATAGTTTCTTTGAACAAAAGAACATCATAAGAACTACCATTCATACTATTATTACTCATAAAAACAAAACACTGCTATCCGGCTATTATAGATAGACGTGATTTCCTTCTTTTTCTTATTATAATTCCCTTCCCTCTCCTTTGCCCACTTGGAATGTAGAGCCAACTCCTCTTACACAGTGGCTGTACCATAACTGAGGCTGTGAGTTAAAACCAGCTAAACTCCCAACTACCATACTGGGTTCCCTCAAGTGCCTGGCAAGAAAGCTGAATAGCTGAGAACAGTACCCCTACCCCTCCTTTATGCCTTCACAGGCCAGCAAAATCACCACCACGTCAGCATATGGAAGCGGTTAGTAAATGAGGGGAGGGTCAGATGCAGCCCTCTATGCATTGATTGCAAGCACACACTTTCTCCCAAAAGCAAAAAAAAAAGAAAGGCATACTTGAACCCTTAACGCAGACAGGCTGAAGCTGATTTATTGGGGTGATTTAGATCAGTTAAAACAAATTTAATTTTGAATACAATTTTATATCAATTAACAGAGTCTCACAAGTGTAGCCATTAAGGAATCTCGTTCCAAAACCAAAGCCAAATATTCAAGATTTATGAGACTGACTTGCCATATTGGAAGTAACTAATTATTCGTAATGATTCTTTGTACTCTGACAGTGATTATGTATTTTCAGTGCAAATGACCATGCTGAAGCAAGTGATAAAGGCAGCCTATGTTTGTGGAAGGGATACCAAGCAGTTAAGGCCTGATCGTTACAGCCAATCATTGGGGTAGCAGGGGGAGAAACAACAGACACCAGCTAAGACCAGTGATGCAAAACCCAGCTTATTTAACATCAAGTGTGTTCTGGTGCATGCCAGAACTGTAACGTGGTCTCATTTTACAGCCTTAAGCAATTTTGAATTTGGGTTGGTTTTTTTTTATTATGACCTTTTAGTTGTCTTTCCACCTTGGACATGATGGTCTTTAATAGAGCAAGGCCTCACAGATTCAGCCTGGAGTGTTTGCAACAGATTGTAAAGTACATTTGGGGTGAGAAGAACCACAACAGGCTTGGAGACTAATTCTCATTTGCACTGAAGTTTCTTCACCTTGCTCTGAGAGCAAAAGGCAGGGAAAGTGCAATAGCAGCCCTGCTTCCAGCTCCACAGGATGAAGGAAATGTCTCTGGATTACACTGCTCTGATTAAAGTCCCTGGGAATCTGAAAATGATAGTTAGACAGGGACCAGATCGATTTTCATATTGCCTCAGGGTACAGAGAATATAAAAGCACCGCCTTTCTCCTCATAACTTCCAGTCCTACCCTAGACACAGGAACAGAGTAATTGAGAACAAAGTCCCCGTTCCAGTGAGGTGTTCCAGTGCCAGCAAGGTTAATGTCCAGGGGCAAGCTGGTGGTGAGAGCAATGCCATGTTTACTGTTATGGTAGCTGCTGTTTTGATGCTGTTCGCGCTCAAACTATGAACAAGGCTTTAATTTCTGATCCTCAAAAAACAAAGGCAGAGCAAGTTGGTCATTAAAATCTGCAGCAGCATGCATGTGATTAAAATGTTAATGTCAATATTGTAATCAAGGTCTGACTCACAGGACAGCTGGTAAGAGACCTGATCTGTATTGCTTAGCCCCGGTCACCTGATGCAGACCAGGGTTACAAAAAAGGTTGTGCCCAGTACAGGGCAGGGATCAGCATCCACTGCTTGGTGTGGTTAGCTGGGGGCTAAAAAGAGGAAATCAGATCAAATACAAGTGCAGTATTGAGAAGTTCAGCTATACTTGCGCTCCTGGAAGAGGAAAGCTTTTCTACGGATCTCCTTAGTATCATTTAAGTTGCAGCTCTGTTGCAATGGTCCCTGAGTATCTCCTATTTGCCTTTGGTGCTGCTGCCAGGCTATCTTTCCTCCTTGTCTCTCTGGCCCATCTCTTTTGCTTCTTTTGGAATTTTCTGTGCTAGTTTCTATCTAGTTGAGTTTTATCCATTTAAGCCCGTAGTAAATTTTGCCTGGTGGTGTCTAAACACCACAAGAGCTATAGTCTGCAAAGCTTCTTTTCAATAAATTCAGAACTAATGAAGAAGGCCTCTCTATTGTTGGAATGTCTAATACAATTATGAATTGAATGAACGGACCAGGCAGCAGTGGAGGGCTCCCAGGTTTGTGGCAGGGAATTGCCTGTTCTAACATCCATCTGTTTTCATTCCCTCTGATCCATTACCATTCACCTAGAGTTGTAACACGATGAATATCATTGTGCAAAAAGCCATTTGATGCAGGGCAGGGGTAGGAATTCACTGTAGGTCTGCCTTCTATTGAAAACGTGAAATTGCCTTGGTGGAAGGAAAAGCACGATTGATTAAGAGATGCTGTTTCAAATAGAGCTCTTTCACAGGTGGACAGTTTGATTTTGTTAATTCCTTTGGATGATCCTTCTGCTGAGTCAACAAAAATATACATATATATATATATATACACAAAATTGGGGATAACGATGGATATCACAGAGCTGCTGAAGGTGTGGAGTTAATTGGAAAAGAAATTGTATTCACAACTTTCCCCAGAAGGCACCTTTGGTTTACATTCGCAGTGACATTAAACTCCTGAATGTAAACATATCCGGGATTTGAATCTTGATGACCCTGCTGACAGGAAATAAAGAAAAGAACTATACAGGCAATTTCCACTGTCCTTGTTGGTCAGCAAATTTGGAAGTGAATGAAAAAAAAAGAGAGCTAGAAATGCATATTAATGATGGCAGACCTAAAGCACAATGGGACTAGAATGAGCCTAAAAATTCCCCAGTTTCTCTTTCTTAATGACTTACTCTTATGATGCACTTCTAAGCAACAGAGAAATTACCTTGTAAATGAAGGGATAGACTCACAGATGTAAGAACAGCTTATTGGACTCGGTGTAAATGCTCTTTTCTAGGAAGCGACTCTTCAAGTATTGGTGAAGCAAATACAGTTAAGCTCAATCCACTGTTTAACTGGGTGTATCTAAACTCCAGATTTTTCATTAACAACCATCCCCTAGATTTTGGCTATAGCTTTAAAATACCATACATCTAAAAAATTATAGTACTGTCCTTTAGAGAAACAGGAGAGAAACACCCTGTTGGAAATTCACAGTCCAACAAACCCCACAGCAGATAACTGTGACTCCCAACTAGCCTGTAATTACTCAAGGAAGTGACTAGACTCAGCTATCTTCCCTGTTTAATTGGCATGGAAAAGATTATAGGATTTTATTAGGATACAAATGACACCGATACAAGTGTGATTGAGGCATGCAATGCTTGACTGACTGCTTGCATTAAGAGGCTTTGTACCACTCATGGGATTTCTACCTTTGGTTTTAAATTGCTTAAATTTAAATGACATTTCTATGCTATATTTTAAAAGGATGATACTTTTAGCTCTTGTTTAAGTAAGGCAGGGCAACGGTGTTGCCAGACACCACACATCTTTCTAACTGTGCCTGTTGGGACCAGGTGGAAGAAGGCTGATTTTTGACTGCTCTGTTACTGCAGTTAGATCAGGAAGGTAGGAAAAGGGACGGAAGGTAGGCATTGCATTTCTTCCATTAAAGCCTTTGATGGCTGCGTTAGACACCCACCTACCAGCCTGCTACGGTGGGGGACACTGGCCCGAGGAAGTCGCCATCCCTGGTGGTGACTGAACTGAAACATAACTGGGAGTAGGTGGCAAGAGGCACTTTTTGGCTTCCCTTACTTCCACAGCTCCCATGAACACTGAATTTCCTTAATGGATTTTCCCCCTACTTATTTATGAAGCTCGGTGGACTTCTTCAGGTTTTATTTCACACCATCCTTCTAGCTTCTCTCACATTCAGAACTGGAGGCTACCCCCTGGGGAAGGCAAAAGCAGCTAAAGACATAAGGAATGAAGCCAAGACTGTCAAATGGAGCAAAGCCAGCCACACACAAGGAAGGGAGCATGCAGGAGCAATGGTAACGTGTGGTAGTATCTGACTGGGTGCAATAAAAGATGATAACAAGGAGGATTAGGTCCTGCTACCACTGCGGTATGTGAGGCAGCCAGTGCTCTGTGCTGGAGCCCTGAACCCCACACACCTTCATCAGTGGTCTCCCTGGGGCTGGGCACTGCGCAGTTCCCCACTAAGCAATGCCCTTTCCTGTGAAGTGTACAGGGACCAAGCCTCGGTGGAGGTCATTCTGGAGAGAGGGCCTGAAACAGCAGGGAAACAAGATGGGAACGCCAGAACTGCAGGCGTTGCAGAGCCTGAAGTAAGCCTCACCAAGGTGGACGGATGGGGAGCAGGGGCTAAAGGACAGAAGGCTCTCCTGCCTCTGTTTCTGTGACCCCAGCCTTCACCCTTGGCCCTGTTGTCCTGCTCCATATCCCACCTGCGGCTCCTTACGCCCAGCTCCTCTGCCCCTGTGCCCTCACAACCATTGTCCCCTAACTTGTCCCTTGACTCCCAGGTTGCTCCCCGGCTCATCCCTCAGCGCTTCCCATCTCTCTCAGCTCCCCCTGTGTCCCTCAGCTGTCCCTCAACCCCCAACCCATCCCTCAGCCCGTCCCTCATCCCTCAGCTCATCGTTTAACCCCCAACTCATCCCTCGGGTCGCTCCTCACCGCGGCTCATCCTCTGACCCCCAGCCTGTCCCTCAGTTCGCTTTATCCCTTAATCCCCAGCCCACCCCAAGCTCATCCCTTGTCCTCAGCTCGCCCCCTGTCCTCTTCCCTTGGCCCTCGACCCCAGCCCGCCCCCCGCCACTTCCCGGGACTCCACCGGCGCCGTGAGGCGGGAGCAGGGCAGGGAGGAGAAGCGGGCGCCGGGCCGGGGGAAAACTTTTCCCGGCGGCGGAGTGAGGGCGGGCCTGGGGCCTCCCTCTGTCCCTCTGCCCGCTGAGGCGAGGGGGGGAAGCGGCGGCGGGGCGGGAAGGAGGAGGAGGAAGAAGAAGAAGGGGGGGGGCCGGGGGCACGGCCGGGCCTGCGCCGGGGAATGACGCGCAGCTGGCAGCCCTGCTCATGCGCGGCCGGCCGGGCGGTGCTAGCGCCGCGTCCCAGCTCGGGGAGAATGGGGCGGCATCCGGGCAGCGCCGACTGAGCGGCTTCTGGGGGCCGGGGCTGCGCCGCGCCGCGGGCGGCCGGGCTGGGGCGGGCGGGCGAGCGCCATCCGGCAGCGGGCGGCGGCCGCGGGGGCGCCGCGGGGGGCTGCGAGCCGCCGGCGGCGCCCGGCGAGGAGGGGTCGGCGGCAGCGGGCGGCGGCGGCGGGCGGCGGCGGGGGCTGCCCAGGGATTGTCTCGCTCGCTCCGCGGCAAGAAAGTTGGGCGGCGAGCGCGGCGGCGGCGGCGGCCCCCCCGCCGTGGTGTGCGGCGGCCGGAGCGGGGCCCCGGAGCGGCGCTGCCCCCGGGGAGGGGGCGCCGCGCCTGGATTATCCCGAGCTGGGTCGAGCCTCCTGGATCTGCCTCTCTCTTCCGCGCCGAGTGAAGCCGAGGTGTCCTCGTCCTGATCCAGATAGATCTTCCCCCCCTTTTTTTATTTTTCCTTTTTTTTTTTCCTCCCCTCCTCTTCCCGTCTCTGCTTTTTTTTTTGGG